CATCCCACTCAAAGCCACCGCCTGCGACAGGGAGTGAGGGGGTTGAGCCCATCTCGGGCTGCCCCCCATCACCCCATAACTGCCCTCATCATCCCATAATTGCTTTCCCCCATTACCCCTTAACTGCCCCCATCATCCCATAATTGTCCCCATCATCCCATAATTGCTTCCCCCCATCACCCCATTAACTGCCCCCATCATCCCATAATTGTCCCCATCATCCCATAATTGCTTCCCCCCATCACCCCATAACTGCCCCCATCATCCCATAATTGCTGCCCCCCATCACCCCATAAGCACCAGCCCCACAACCCCCTGGTCTCTTACTCTCTTCTGAGGCATTGCCATCTGAGGAGTCGTCCGAGGCTCCGAGCTTGTCCGTGGGGCTGGGGGGGCTGCCACTGGCAGGGAGCGGTGCCCCGAAGGCAGGGGGGCTGCCCCGAAGGCAGGGGGGGCTCTGGGAAGCCCTGCTCAGCCAGCTCCCGCGTGGGGCTTTCCTGAGGATGGAAAAACAGCAGGAAGGAACCTCACTGGGGGCACGGCTGGGGATGGCTCCCACCGCCAGAATGCTGTGGGACCATGACCAGTGCCCGGCACTGCCCCCTAGGGCACCCACCTGGTCGAAGAGGTAGATGGTCACATCGTCGTAGAAGGAGACTGCCTTCTTCTTGCGCTCCAGGTCCTCGCAGAAGGACTCGGAGAGCAGGCTGGGCATCTTGAGGAGGCTGCGCAGGTTCCGGCCACTCTGGCTCTCGGCCACCACGATGGGCACAGCCACCGGCTCCTCCTCGCTCTCCTCGCTCTGCTCCTGGATGTTGTAGCAGCGCAGCTCCTCGTCCGACTCGTCGCTGTCCTCCGTGTCCTCATCCTCCTCCTCCGGCTCCTCGCGGCGCTCAGGGGCCGACGGGAGCGGGGAGAGGCCCGGGGCTGGCTCAGCCCTTGGCAGCAGCGTGCTGGGACCCCCCGGAGCATCACCCACCCCCGTCCCCTCCGGGGGCAGCCCCAGGTCCCCAGGCCCCAGCACGGGGGGCACAGTCTGTTTATCCCCTGCCACAGCTCCTCCAACTCCAGGGACACCCTCAGGCACGTGGGCCCCTCCGACAGCCAGTGGCTCCCCAGGGCTCACTGGCACGGGGGTCAAGAGGAAAGTCTTGGGGGTCACAGAGCCCGGGGGACAGACGTCAGTGTCGGGGCGTGGGGGGCTGCCCGGCACCAGCCCCGTGCCAGCGGGGCACTGCTCCGTGCCAGGCGCCTGCTCCGTGGGGCCGGCCGGTGTGCTCCTGTCCTCAGCCCCCTCCCAGTCCCCCTCCAAAACCCCCGCCACCGGCATGGGCACCGCCACCGCGACACCAGGCGCTGCTGGGGGGCTGCCAGGTGCCCCCGGGGGGTGCAGCGGATCCTCCCCTCGCCCTACGTCCTGCTCAGGGGAGCGGGGACCCTCCTCTGCCTCCGGGG